TCTAGTCCTCCTGGGTGAGTTTACTTCGTTTTCTTCTACAGTTTTCAAATGTTGTTAATTCACTAATGCAGGATTTTTCCAGTTTCTTTATGTAGGCATTTAGTGCAATGAACTTTCCTCATAACACTGCTTTCATTGTGTTCCATAAATCTAGGTATGTTGTGTGGTCATTTTTGTTGAATTTTAGGAAATCTTTAATTTCTTCTATTTTTTTCCCTGATGCATTGATGATTCAGCTGAACATTGTTTAATTTCCATGTGTTTTTGGGCTTTCTGGAATTAGTGTTGCTGTTGAATTCTAATTTTAAGCCGTGGCGATGCCTTACACCTGAATCTAATGGAGGCATTTTCTCAATTGAGATTTCCCTTCTTTCAATGTGTCAAGTAGGCATAAGACTAGCTGGTCCAGGAGTTCAAGGGCAATGTGATGACAATTGTGAGACACAGTTTCAGAAAAACTGGAACTTGGAGGTATTTATAGAGTGCTTGGCTTGCGTGCATAAAATCTTGACTTCAATTCCTAGTGCAATAACCCTGTCACCATGACTTTCCTGAAGATTTTTCTCAATGTTAGTAGAATTTAAAATGTTTAGGGTTGGGATGTGTTTTAAAGTTCAGCCCCTATCAATTTTATGTTGGGGCAGAATAGTTTTCTTCCTTTTATATATTGAAGAACACACAACTTATTGTGTGAAAATGTATCCAAGTTAAAATTGAGCATTTAAAATGCATGTTGAAATGTAGATGCAGCGGCATGAGGTATAGTTCATACTGTTGCCCACACATCACCAGTGTTGTGTGCTAACGGTGTTCCATCATTTCGTTCTGAAACTCTGGCCCCATTCAGTGCTAACTTTCTTCTTCCTCCCTCTTCCCATCCCCTGGAAACCTTCATTCTGCTTCTATCTCTATGGCTTTGGGTACTTAGGTACCCCATATAAATGGAGTTACCTGCTTTTTTTTTTTTGAAAAAAAAATTCTGATATATGTCATTGCTTAATGTCAAAATTCATCCTTATTGTAACATATGACAGAACATCCTTTGAGGGGGCATGAGCACAGTGGGGATTGACTCTGAGATCTTATGCGTGCTATGAAGGTACCCTACCTCTGAGCTCTATCTGAACTCCACTTCTTTAAAAAGGCTAGATTGCATGTCGTGTGTATGTACACATTTTGCTTACGTATTCACCTGTTCATGGACATCTGGATTGTTTGCATCAGGAATATGTAGTTATTTAGTAGCAAGGTCCAAAATATTATCTATTTCTCAGCCCACCAACTGGAGAACTAGACTCCTAATGGATCGAAAGGTCTGATGTTCAGATTCCACCAGCTGACTTCGGGGAAGTGTTCCGAGCTCCAGTGTCGTCTTCCTGGGTTTTGTCTTGTGTTCTCTTCCACCACTGTCAGCAATCCTGGATCTGTTCTTGGTATACATTCTTCCTACACAGTCTGTGTTATATCTAAGTTGCCTCCGTTGGTACCCCCAACCTCACCTGCAGTCTTTAAATACTTCCTGTTTTTGGTCACTCCACAGGTAGGATGGCTTTCCTTGGGTCCTACCATTACAGACAGTTGCCCACATGATTTTTCCACCTGAGCACTCTTAAGTCTTTCCTATGAGACTTGTCAAAACCTAGTTTCTTTTAGATGTCATTAGTGCATTTTGACTGTGTGTATATATATGTCTCCAGGCAGGTATAAATTAAGTATGTTTGTTATTACGTTGGGGTAAAATTGTTTAGACTTGCTGTTTGTGCTGTCACTTGAAAGGCAGAGGCAGGTGAATCTCTGTGAGTTTGAGGCCAGCCTGATTTATCTACACAGCAAGGCTGATCACAGTACCCTGTGAGATCTTGTCCCAAAAAAGAAAACAAAAGTTGGACTTTGGAAGTGAGTTGTTATTGGATGGGCTACTTCCTGGTTTTGACAGGAGTGTTTACTTGAACCTGCAGCCTCATGCATGAAGATAAGTTCGTCGCTACTAAACTAGATCCCCAACCCAGTTTTTAAAAACATTAAAATTTCATTCATTATTGCATTTATTCATGTGTGTATCTCTCTGTTTCTCTCTCTCTCTCTCTCTCTCTCTGTTTCTCTCTCTCTGTTTCTCTCTCTCTCTCTCTCTCTCTCTCTCTCTGTGTGTGTGTGTGTGTGTGTGTGTGTGTGTGTGTGTGTGTGTGTGTGTAACTCCAGGCAACTTGCAAGAGCCAGTTCTCTTCTTCCACTGAGCAAATGTTGCATCTCTCTTTTTACCCATGTGAATTCTAGGGATCAAAATCTGTTCATCCGGCTTGACAACAAGCACCCTTGTCTGCTGAACTATCTTCCAGCCCAGTTTTTGTTTTTTGTTTCCGAGCAAAGGCTGCTAAGTTATTGCTTCAGCCTCCCGAGTAGCTGAAATTACAGGCTTGCTCCTTTAGGACAAGCTGGGAGTACTAGTTATGGATAATTGTCCATTTAGCATAAAACTTCAGTTCTCCTGGGGACTTGGTTGGGATTTTAGTAAAATGCATAGGTGTATTTATTTATTTAGTTATTTAGATTCAGGGTCTCATTTTATAGCTCAGGCTGGCCTAAAACTTGTAGCAATCTGTAGCACGAATAATAAAAACCCCAGAGACAAATTGGGGTTCAATCTAAAAACTAGATAAGCAACGCAGCCAAGCCACCAGAGAAGTCTTACCTCTACCAAGTCCGGGCAAACTAAGCCCCCTAAGCCTCTCTCTGTTCTCCCATTTTATATCCCTCTAGTGCTAGGGTTAATGGTGTATTTAATTCCTGGACTGGAATTAAATTTGTGAGCCACCACCACCTGGATTTTTTTCTTCATTGATTTTATGTAGCTCAGGGTAGCCTTGAACTCACAGAGATCCATCTGATTCTGTCTCCCAAATCCTGGGATTAAAGGTGTTTCACCATTGCCTGACTTCTAGTTGCTTTAGCTTTGCTCTGGTCTTCAGGCATGATTTATTTGTCAAAACACAAATAATATACCACTCCAGCCATCTCTTGTTTCAGTCTCTTGAGTACTGTTATAAAGTGTGTGCACCACCACAAAATATGAGACAGAAGTGTGATCACGAGCTTGAGACGAGGCTTAGTTGTCCCAAACCAAACAAGTCAGCTAACAGATTGTGCAGTGAGTGCCACCAGTCATATGTTTGGTGGTGTAAAGAACACGGGTTCTTTGCAGCTTCTTGTTTCTTTGAAAGAGTTTTCGGGGAGCAGGTTGTAATAGACAAAGTAGAAATGTATTTGGCTTTGTGGGCCTAAAAGCCAGTGGTGCTTCGTGGCACTATCTAAAAGTGTATTTGTGTTCTGGTAAGTTTTATTAATAAGTAACAAGGACAGTAAAGTCCCCTGGCTGGATTTTATTTGGCCAAGGACTATTGGCTAGCCAACCACTTGTGCAGAAGATCAGGATGTGTATGGCTCTATAGTTAGCTGCTGGCCTTACTGGTGTTTAGTCACTACTAAGTGCTATAAGTTATAGATCAGATAACTGGCTACGGGTTCAGCAATCTCTGTTTTGTTTGTAAGGTAGGAGCTTTAAAAGGTGATGTATTAGTCAAGTTTCATGTATGTGTTTCTTCTTTTCCCTGTGCTGAGGAGGGAACCTTTGCCCATGCTAGGCAAGTGCTCCACTGGTGAGCCCACACCACTTCAGTGGGGGATATTCTTAGCACCGATTAATGAAGCTCTTAATAACCATAGCATGACGTAATCTGATTAGGGCTGTAGTAAAGATATGCAGAATGTTTATGAGAAATGGAATGTTATGTTGAGGAATGGAATGTTATGATTGTTTTAGGAAAGAACTGATAGTTCCTTAAAACTGTTAAATATAGTTACCATAGGACCCATAATTTCTTCTTGTAGGTGCATCCAACAGAAATGAAAATATATCTGTATAAAACCTTGTATATCAATATTTATAGACACATTATTCATAACCACTAAAGTAGAAACAAATGACTATCAGCTGGTAAATCTATGAAGAAAGTGTGATTTGTTCATGCCATGGATTTTATTTAGCCATCATGTTTAATGGAGTAATGACATGCTATAACACAGATGCATACTGAAAGTCTTATGCAAAATTACAGAAACTAAACATTAAAAGGTCGTATACATTGTATGACTCCATTTATGTGAACTTCTCAAAGCAGGGAAATCTGTAGACCTAGAGTTTGGATGTGGTGGTGGCCGTGCAGGCCTGAAATCCCAGCCCCTTTGGAATAAGACACAAAGGGATCCTAAATTCAAGGCTGGTCTATAAAAGTCAATCCAAGACTACCCCAGGCTACATCAGGAGATCCTTTCTCAGTAAATGAATGAGTGATGAATGGATAGTACTGAGGACATAGCTCAGTGGGGCTCGGTTCATTCTCTCGTGCTGAAAGAAAGAAAGGAAGAAAGGAAAGAAGGCGATTAGGATATTGGGGCCATTCTGCTTAATGAGCAGGTGTTTCTCTTGGTCAAGAAAACGTTCTGAAATTGATGGACAGTGTGCAACTCTGAATGAACCAAACACTGCATGAATGAATGTGTGGCTTTTGTGACAAGTGCATGTGTGAAATCTGAATTGCATTTCAAAAATATTACTAATACGAAGTGTAGGATTAATGTATCAGAAATAATTAGCAAAGAGTAAGAATGATCCAAAATATTGTTCCCATAAGGGAATTCCACAGTATGAATCTGATTTTGGTTCCTTTGTGTTTGGTTTTCTGGGTTTCTGAGTCTTTCCATTCCCTCTTCGGTGTCCTGGGGGACTGACCAGGATGAGGGATGCTGAATAAGAAGCCTTGTTTTATCGGTCCTTCAGTGGAAATGAAGTCAGCTTCTAGGGCCTGTTTGCTCCAGGCTTCCTGGGTCCTTTTACTTCTAAGTAATCCCAAAACTGACTTGCTTGAACCCTGTATATGTTATATTCCCAGCCGCCTTGGAGGAACTTGCCTAGGGATGTTCATGGACCCCTTTCTGTGTTACAGATTGAAGAAGGGAGCAAAGCTGCAGCCGCAGACAAGCTACTAGCTGGAGATGAGATCGTGGCTATCAATGACGTGAATCTCTCAGGGTTCAGACAAGAAGCCATCTGCCTGGTAAAAGGCTCCCATAAGACCCTGAAGCTTGTGGTCAAAAGGTGAGACGTGTGCCTTTTTTTTTTTTTTTTTGCTCCCCAAACAAGGAGTACAATGCTAAAATGCCAAGCCTGGATGCCTTTTCTCATATGTGAAGAGATCTCAACATGCATGTGAACTTAAAATTAGAGTTATTCCGCACTAGCTTCTGGAGACTGTTCCAGGATCCCCATTTCGGACACCAAAATCTGCACGTGGCCGTTATAGAAAATGCCGTTATATTTGTATATAATCTAGGCACACACTTTAAATACTGTCTAAGTGGCCTAAACTTTTAAGTTGCCATGAAAAAAATTTCTGACAGTAGCAGCCTAAAGGAGGAAAGATTTCTTTTTGGCTCATGGTCTCAAGAGATTTGTGCACATCCCTTTAGAGAATTAAGGGGCTTTATAGTGTTAGAAGTGTTTTGCAGATTCTCCCTTCACATTTTTGCTGACCAAGAAGCAGAAAGAGATGAAGCAGAACTAATGCTGAGCTACAACTGTCAAAGGTTTGTTGTCCTCAGCACTTTCTAATAGCCAGACCCCGCCTCCCAAAGGCGCCACCGTCTTCAAAACATAGGCCTATAGGGGACAGTCTGCTCCCAATGAGGGAACATGATGCTTATTCATAGAAGGTGATGGGCTGCTTGTTTTCATGCTTATGCATGAAAGACAGAGACAGATGCAGATAACAGATACGTGGGGGAGCAAAAGGCCTGTTTCTATAAATGAGATTAAGGGGCCAGGTGGTGGTGGCACACACCTTTAATTCCAGCACTCTGGATACAGAGACAGCTGGATCTCTGTGAGTTTGAGGCCAGCCTGGTCTACAAGAGCTAGTTCCAGGACAGGCTTCAAAGCTACAGAGAAACCCTGTCTCAAAAAAAAAATTAGATTAAGGGTAGGAGGTTAAATAATTTAAAGAAAATTAGGACGATGATGCATTTATGTATAGGATAAAAACAGTACTCCCTGGCTGGAGAGACGGCTCTGTGGTTAAAAGCACTGGCTGCCCTTTCGGAGGTCCCGAGTTCAATTCCCATCGGGCGCCATTTTCTGGCCTGCAGGCAGACATGCAGACAGAATGCTGTGTGCATCATAAATAAATAATAAAGCAAACAGTACTCCCAGGTATCACGAGAAAGATTGTTTTCAGAGATACAGATACGCACCTCTGAGCCTGGCTACATGTCTTTTTTTGATGGAATCAGTGAAGTCATTGATTTAATTAAAGAGTCAAGCTGGGTGTGGTTGTGCATGCTTTCAGTCCCAGTATATAAGAAGCAAGAGTAGATGCATTGCTGTGAGTTCAAGGCTGATAAGGCCTTGAACATATAATTATGTATAATTAGGGCCTAAAAAAAAGAAACAAGGAAATAAAACTGTTCTTTGTTTATTATTTATCAACTCTCATTTCTACGTGAGATAACGCTTTTGAATACCTTTTGTTTATGTTGCGATTGTGCTCGGGCTCAAACCCAGACCCTGCTCTGTGCTAAGCTAGTTCTCTACCACTGAATCGCCACACTTCCGGTCCTAAACACCTTTTTAAAGTCCTTATAGCTCTTAAGATGCGATCTCACAGTGAGACCTAAATACCTTTTTAGTTAGTCCTTATGGCTCAGAAGATACGATCTCAGAATGAGAGTTTCTGATCTGTCTGAGGAAGTTGGAATGAGGTATCATCAATGTATAATTCCTTGATTGCCTCATGACCCCTCAGAAGGAAGCTTTCTTTTATGATTGCTTTTACTGTGATAAAACACCATGGCCAAAGCAACTTGGGGAGGCTGTTTATTCACTTTATACTTCCATATCACTGTTCATTGTTTGAAGGATGTCAGGACAGGATTTCAAACGGTGCAGGAACTGATGCAGAGGCCTTGGAGAGATGTGCTTACTGGCTTGTTCAGTCTGCTTTCATACAGCACCTAGGATCGCTAGTCCAGAGATGAAACCACCCACAGTGGGCTGGCCCCTCCCCCATCAGTCACTAATTAAGAAAATGCCTTACAGTCAGGATTTATGGAGCTATTTTCTCAGTTGAGGTACCCCTCTTCAGATAACTCTAGTTTGTCTCAAGTTGACATATAACTAGCCAGTACAGAAGTCCTTTGTTCTCATAAGACGCTGTTATTCTTAGTCAAGTGATGGTCATGAGGATGTGGATTCTAAAGGTCAGACTAGGAGCCATGCATGGCCCCTGAGAGTTGCCACTGCCTTCTAAACCCGTGGTTCCAAGGGGGCTAGAATCACTCTTTGACCGATCTGACCTTTGAATAAGGAAGATACAAATCTCAAATCCCTGCGACAACTCTGACCAACTGATTCCTGAGCAGACGTTTTGTTATTGTTTATTTTTCCTTGAGACATTTTCTCTCTCTGTTGCCCTGGCTGGCCTTGGATTTCTGGTATAGACCTGGATGACCTAGAATTCAAAGAGATCCACCTACCCCTGCCTCAGTGCGCTGGGATTAAAGGAATGTGTGCACCACCACACCAAGCCTGACTTTGAGTCAGAAGATATGTATAGAAATGTGGAACAGATTTCTCGGTCCACTTATTTTTGGTGTCAAATCTAGTGTAGATGTCTTTCTGTTTGTTTGTTTTTTTGTTGTGTGTGTGTGTTTCTGTCCATGGGTTTGGTGGGATAAGAATAGTTTTATTGTTTGCTTTGTGTTTCTGTAGTTATGAGGTAAAGTGGACATTACTACATATATTTCTTAGTGTGCTTGATATAATTTGTTTTTTAAACTTAGATTCACATATCTAAGGATATCAATACAAGGAATAAAACTTGTTTAAAATACATCATTGCCACATAGGAAGCAAAGAGAGGAGGAGACCGTAGAGCATACTGGCTGGTAAAAGATATATAAAAGATTAGAGTAAGGGGAATTAATCTTTTGTCATGAAGGCACTGATGTAAGCCATTATGGAGAACTCCTCCTGTTTTGTATTTTTGCGGTTTCCTTTAAATGAGGAGTGTAGACAATTCCCTGCTTTAGATAAAATTGAATCATTTAAGTAGCAAGATTTTAAAGCAAACAGGTTATCCAGGAATTTATTATTCCAACGTAATTTTGTGGGATTTTTGAGATTTGTTTTGTTTGTTTCTCTGTGTAACCGACTTGGTTGACCTAGAACTCACAGAGATCCGTCACCCTTCTCTGCCTCCTGAGCGCTGTAGGTGTTCACCATCACTACTTGGCACACTACCTGGCTTAAAGCATCCTTTTAATAATATAGTGTTTTAATTTTGGGGAAATAATTTTATATAAATTGTAAGTACTAGAGATATTGTTCAGGTTGGACATGATGCTATTTAAAGATGTGAAGGAAGTTTCCCAAGGTGGTAAGTTAGTTAATATTAGAATTTATGCCTGTTTCTCAGAGTGGGGTGAATAATTACTGTTAATCTTAAAGATGTACTTAGTAAAGCCTTTTAATACTCCAGAGTAACAAGTCTTTATTACAAATGTACCAGTTGTTCTTAAAACTCTAGCATATATTCTTCTCAAAGTTTGAATTTCCTCACTCACTTTTTTCTCCATGCTCCAGGCAACCACTTACTCTGCTTTCTGTCACCGTGGATTAGTTAGCATTTACTCATATTTTATATTAAGCTCCAAGATGGAGGAGCATGCCTTCTCACAAAAACTTCAAGTCCTGGGGTTCAGCTCCGTGGTAAAGCATGTGCTCGGCACCAAAGGCCCCGATTTGATTCTGAGAACCCAAGGAAGAGTCTAGCTCACAAAAAGTCACTCTGAAAGTGACTCATAGCCTAAGCTGCGAACACATAAATTGATGTTGCCCTGCTTAAGATGTCGATCAAGTAATAGACTATGTTGATCCATCCTTTGCCTTACTGCACCTGACTACCTCATATTGCGACTGTTAACATTTGAATAGTAGTCCTTGCATAGACTCCCCTTGTCTTAATGACAGCTGGTGCCTGCTTTTATTTCCTGTGCTCCTTTTATCTTAGTGTGTGGGACCAACCAACTGGGGTGAGATTTCAATAGGCCAGTTTCACAAAGCAGTGGAGTCTCCTTTCACAAGGATCCAGTAATCCTGTCCTGATTGAGAGGCGGTGTCTGGACAGCGATGCCTGAAGGGACACGGAGCTATGCTATCTGATCATCTTCAGCAGTAGCACATTGTCCTTCAATGATGTCCAGGTGGCTTTCGAGCTCATGAGCAGTAGATTGGAGACCATAGGAGCCAGATCTGTGGGGCTGTGACAGGTTGGGTCCAGTATGCCTTTGTTCTTTCATTTCCAAGGTGTTTGGTGTTTCAGTGTGTCCCTTTGCAATGTTATGTAGTCTTTTAATATGTATTTAATTGTCTCTATATAGTTGTCACCTGCTCTGTTTTCTCCATGTACACTGGCATGATTCTGAGCTCTAGGATTTTTCACAGAAGGCTACCGACTGTTTTGTCCAGCGGCTGTATTGATTTGGCCACTCACTTGAAGGAAAAGGCTTAGAGATGCAGAGGCACAAAGATCTAGAGAGTTCAGGCTGTGCAGTAGAGTGAGAGTGATTTCAGCCTGGGTAGTTTATTGACCCACTGTCTCAAAATAATAAACACAAAGAAGGACTAAGTAGACAGCGCTCAGTAGGTAGCGCTTGTCTAGCCTATGTGAAGTCCTGGGTTCAGTCTCCAGTAATGCAGAAACAAATCAGAATAGACCTGTGAACCCTAGGGAAGATTTATTTTCAATATTACACCTTGAATATATTTTCAGTCTCTTCCCAAATTTATGTTATAGTATTGATTTTTTTTACAGTGAAATATGCTTGGCAGTTTATCCTTAATCTCATTCTGGCAGTTTCTGGTGATATTCTCCTAGACTGCAAGCCGTTTTGTTGGGAACAAACCAGGATGGGGTTGACTCATATTTTTGTCTCTTTGCTGGTCATCACAAACCGTTTTGTGAATCTAATGATATCTGCTAAGCTGACATTCAGGAACAGATTAACACCCTCTTTTGCTGGATGCTGCAACGGTTAGGCAGC